GCCTCTTCCATGCGAGCTCTGCCCCTTCCCAGCAGCCCTGCCGGGCGGAACCGCTGCAGTAGCTGCGAGGTTGTAACATGGGGCCACGCTCCCTCCCCTGCTTCCCAGAATGAAAAGGGGGGAGGCGGCCCGGCGAGCTCTTCCTGCCCCGCAGGTCGGTGTCCAGGCACCACGAAGTCTCTGACGGGCTCGGGGGTGGACTTTGTCTCACCCGCCCGCAAGGGCATCTGGGGGCAAACTCACTCCCCTCTGGCAGCCGGGCCGCGCTGTCCCCGTGTGACGCGAGGACCAGGCCTGTGGCGCGTAGACGCTGACGAACAACTCGCCCTCCGAATACCCCCGGCCCCGATCCTGCTCGCGCAAAGCGCCTGGGTTAGCAGGGCCGAGCCCTCCAGGTGCGGAGGAAAGAAGGGACGGGCGGGAGCGAGCCTGCCCATTTGGTGAAACTTAAGTGTCCCCATTGCTGTCCTCTCCCCGGCCCACGTATCTCCAGGGGCCATTCTGGGTCACCGAGCGTTGCGAGTTCTCCTGAGCGGGCCCCGCCACCTCGCTGCCTCATTCTGCAGCCTCTCCACACTGGCCACATCTCAGGCCCCGGTTTCAAGGTTATTTTTAGCGAACCCATAGAGGTCAAAGGACACAGGCAGGAGGAATTACCCAGGCTGTGCAGGTTGGAGCTGCACTCGGACCCGTATGTTTTTGCATTTCTTAAATGGTTGTCTTTGAGCACGCAACTAGATCTGACTAGAGCCCAGGCCTGTCTCCCTAGGAACTCCAGACTCGCTGCTGAAGAGGGGCACGGGGTGACAACCAGCAAAGAAGTGCTTTTAAATCCCACCCATGGTTCTCCCACCCATGCACCAAATATACCAGTTTTCTCCGGGCAGAACAGAACGCCTTTAATATGGTTGTTTTGAACGAAGCAGGAGAAATACCCCCAGATCCTCAACTGTTACTAACCCACAAGAGCTGTCAGTTCAGTGGCAAGGCATCCCAACGGGGCAGGTCATTTTGCTTTGCTAGGGAAAAAATAATCAGAAGTAGTACTGCTCTTACAACAATGGCAACTGGTTTTCTTATGTTCTTCAGCACAGTAATTTAAAGTGTTAAGCATATGAGAAGGGGTGACCACAGTGGCCCGCTGTAATAGACCCATTACAGTTTGGACATCGTTTTGTTTAAAAAAAGTGTATATCACTCACTACACAAAATTAAAACGACCAGATCTGGGAGTGATTAATGCACATTTTAAATCGTAATCAGCGATTACACTGCCACCCACGTGAAATAAATGTATTTATTTCTCTGGAGCTAAATGGTTATTATAAGTGCAAGGTATACATTCAAATTACCATGCATAGCAGGGTGCACGTGGAAGGAGGAGAGGGGAACAGATTCATATTTCAGTAGAAGGGAAACATTTTGCTTCAGGTGCAGCCCCCGGGAGGGGGGGGGGGAGGAAAAAACAAGGAGATAATTATGGTAGAATATATATTGTTTATTTATGAATGTAACCAGAATTGACAAACTTTATATGCAGGATTTTTTTCAATTCATAATTCACCATGGTATGTGTGTATAGAGATGATTAGAAAGATATCGCTATAGATATCTATACACACACACACATACCTACAAGCACACACGCGCACACACACACACCCATGCAAGCAACATAGCTTTCCAGATCTCACACTTGCAAACATTAACTTTCCTTCACCTTGCACTTTTCTCCAATTACTCATATGAGAAATTCATACACACATTATAAAGAAAAGCACCGGCTGGTTAAAAGTGCTGGCTAGCAGGGGGAATTGGTTGCTGTTTCCTTCTCCCTTGGGAGGATCCAAAGAATCTACACAGCTGCAGTTAACTAGCAGCATCTTCTTTCCCCCAAGGGGGAAGAAAACCCAGAGAGTGGATGTGACCTAGCCCTCCCTTCCAAGGTAATCAAATCCCAGGCACCCAGGAGGTGCAGACTTTAGGGTTATTAGGAGGCAGCTTGCCCCCTCAGGAAGCTATAACCAAAAATGCTGCAACATAAGGGTTATCTCTCTGCCACCAGATAAGGAAATTGTGATGGCAAAGATGGAAGCAATACAATACAATAAACTGTGGCCACTATACACAGAAAGGCATCACATTACATGAGGCACAGCTTGGAGAGAGAAGACAGGTTCGGTGAGGTGCTTAATATCCCTCGAAGAAAGCAAAATACATTGAAAGTTCGTAGTGAATACCCGCATCGATAGGCATGTATTGGTATGTGCTTCGCCATGTCACGACATACAGTACAGGCATTGCTGCTCTTCGTTTTGGTTGAAGGAGAAAATGAAGGACTCCTTAGCTAGGTGCTGTTCCCTTTCAGTCTTGGGGTCCCCTCTAACACTGAGGGGGAGGGGCAATCTATGCGTTGCCCCCACGGTCCAGCAAACCTTGCCTTCACCTAACAAGAGACTCATCTGAAGGCACCAGGGGCGGAGTCTTGCTTGCACTCGGCTTTCCCTGACACCTAACACAGCAGGTATATTGTCTCCCAAGTAATGTCTCACCCACGCCCCCCCCCATCACTCCCCAGGGAGGAAGACATACACCTCTCCCCAGCCAGGACCAATTAAGCCCCAAACCCACCAAGAGCGCACGACCCCTACCCGTCTGCTCACGCCCCTGTCGGGCTGACGGAAACAGCCCACAGAGCTTTGGAACCCAACTTGTAAGGCACAGCGTGGGGGGTCGCTACCCTGTAGCCACGTGGGCGCGTTCTGGTTCGTTGCAAAGCACAATCTTTTCAGCTTATTCGTGTCGTTCCTAAGGCACGGACCGTGTCATACTACAGCTGCCTGGATTCTTTTATTTGTCATTCAGAATTAAAAGCCAAACTCCCCCCAGGAGAGCCGCTGCTCTCGACCCCCGCAGGGATCTGAATAGGGCCCCGAGAGTTGGCAAAAGGCCGGGCGGGTTTGGAGAGGCGCGGGAGGCGAGGCCAGGGCGTCTCACGCGCAGTTGCCCATGGCCTTGACCAAGGAGCTCTCGGGCAGCTGTCTGAAGATGCCCCTGAGTGTCTCCAGCTCCCTGGTGAGCTGCTCCACCCGCTTGCGCAGCCGGTCATTGTCACTGGTGAGTTCCATCACCTTCTGCTGCGTCTCCGCGTTGCGCTGCTTGGCCTTGTCCCGGCTCTTGCGCACCGCGATGTTGTTGCGCTCCCGGCGCACCCGGTACTCGCTGCTGTTCTTGTCCACGGACTTTTTCGTTTTGCCCCGATGATCCCCGGGAAGCATCTTGAGGGAGCCGGCGGCGGGCAGGCTGTTCGGGTGGTGCGGGTGGTGGGGGGTGGGCACGGGGGTGGGGGGCGGCGTGGGGTGCCCGGGCTGGAGGTGCATGGTGGTCTGCGCGCAGTGGGCGATCTGGTACTGGAGATGGGACGGGTGCTGCTGCTGGGGGAGGTGAGGGTACAGGGAAGCCAGAGCCGTCTGCCAGCACTCCGCCTCTTCCCTGGGCTCCTGCTTAATCACCAGGGGCCGCAAGCCGGGGACAGCGATGCGCTCGTACAGGGGGTCCAGCTTGCTGTCCGTGTAGCTGGCCATGCAGCTGAAGAGCGACTGCTGGTGGTGGTGCTGCGGCGGCGTCTGGTGCTCCTGCCCCAAGGCGGCCGCGCCGGCCCCGGGCATGCTGTGGAAGTCGAAGTCCCCGGCCAGGACGGCTTTGGCTTTCTCCTGCTGCTTGCTGTGCTGGAAGAGGTCGGCCAGGAACTCGTCGTTGAAGGCGGCCGGGTCGATGTAGGCGCTGATGTCGATGGAATTCTCGTTCTCGCAGATGTCGCTCAGCTCCGCTCCTCCCGCAGCAGGTGTCGCCGCCGAGGGAGCTTCTCTGTAGCTGTAGGCGCTGCCGGGCTGGGGCGTCTGGAGGTGGCTGCTGCTGCTCATCGGCGGCCGGGGCTCGACCTCGTAGAAGTTGGCTTGCTCCATGGAGTAGCTAAACTCTACCAGGCATGGTGAACGGCACCTGGAATCCAGGGTTCGGAGAGGGCGAAGTGGACCCAGGCGGCTGGATGAAGCTCTCGGAGCCTCGGGACGTCCTGGCACCAAACAGCCCCCGCGGCTGTGCCTATCGGGGGGGTAAGCTGCGAGCCGCTCAGACTTCCCCTCTCACTCGAATCAACTTGTGCTACTTCTTCCCCTGCACTCAGCGATCCCTCCCACCGGCGTGTCCGAGTTCCTCCCTCCTACCCGTCACTTACTAATAGCTTGGCTGGAGCTTATGCCTGCTATATATACACTCCCGGCAGGGCTGGGGATCGCCCTCTAGTGTCCAATCTCCTGCTGGGAACCTTTGACCACAACGCCACTCTGCCAATTTTGCTGGGTCTTAGCGCCCGCGGGACACGTCCCAGACTTCCTCACGTTGTTACAGTGACAAGCCACTAGGCAGAGATAAGCACAGCTCAGGGTCCAGCCAGCGTATTGGAGCGCGGTATTAGTATGCAATGCTGACAACGAGAAGGAATCATTTTCTCCCCTGCAACCGGGTGGGCAGCAAGCTCGGACGGAGTATGCAAGTGGCAGAATGCAACAAGTGTTCCCCCACCCTCTCCCTTCCAAAGACTTGGAAATAACCAGGCGGGAGAAGAATGCCGGGTCTAAACCTTCTGGGAAAGTTAAGCATCTGGTTGCATTGCTCAGAAGCCCCGTGGCACGTGTGTGGCAGTCCCAGGTACTCTGAGCCCCGCCTTCTGAGCTCAGGAGGGAAAGAAGCAAAGTGGCCAAAATACATCAGCGCATTTCCATCATTCACTGCGATCGTGGGTCTTTGCTTTTCTACAGAACCGACCCATTAAATCCAGTGAAGAGCCTGGCCCTCCTCTGTTTTACACATACCAGCTGGACAGTGTTTGCCTAAGTATCAGAGACTTTTTTAAGCAACTCGTTGTTCCTTGAACTAGGCGGCCCGTTACCGTGCGGGTGCGCTGGGAGTTTCAGAAGCAGCTGAGTTTTAACAAGTTCTCAGCAGCGTGGTTTGCACGTGAGACGACCCCCAGTGCATGCGCTCCCTTGCGGATTACAGGCTCAAACCCGGTACCCTCCATACCTAACCAGGGGCCGTGACACACAGGCACTTGTCCCAGACCTAAGAGTAAGAGTCTGTAGTTAAACCTAAAGTCACCCCTTCGGGCACTAGGACCCAGTGGAAAAGCCGTATCAGTCGCCTCTTATCTGGTTGGCTAGAGGCGGAGTCCTTAGGGAAGAAGGGGCTGAAATTCTGCTTCTCTCTGCAGACTGCAGCTGGCCAAGGGAGCCTGCTTTGGCTCAGCTCAGAAAGGATTTTTTTTTAGTGCAAGGCACAAAAAAGCTCCCGTGTTCAAGTAACTCCCTGCGAAGGAGCCTGCAGAGAAGACCTGTAGCTGTAGGCAAAGGCTTAGGAGGGATTAAAGTGGCTGAGTTGCACAGAAGGGTTGCAATGGGCCAGAGTTATCTTTACAGCGTACAAAGTTCGGTGTGCGGCATAGCTGCGTCTCACGCCTGATAACATCACTCAAGCCAGACGTCTGTGATCCTTCTGCTTCATTACGTCGGGGCATTGATTAGCTGTCACATTTATTATGGGCCCGGCAGAATTTGGGTGGAAAAGCAGAAATGCGCCAAACCAGGCCCGCTCCACTGACTCCAAGCCAGTTTACCCAAGCAGTAGCCCCAGTAGTGCTCTGAGGGGTGGTCCCTCCAGCACACGCAGTGGCACAACCGGCTCCTTCGGAGTCTGGCTCACCTCCATGGGAGAGTCTTCTGGGTGTGCATGGGGAGGGGAGCCGAAGCTCCGGCCCCTTGCCAGCCCCAGCGCTTCCCCGTGCCTGGGGGCGAATGACACGGCCAGGCCTACTTTCGCAATAGACAGTCGGCGATAAAGGCACGGGCCCTATCTGTCCAAATGGGCAGCCAGCCGGGAGATAACCAGGATGGCTGATTTCCGAAATGCAAACACAACAATCTCGGGTTGCATCGCGCCTGACCCAGCTCTCAGTCTCCCTCCCATCAGCTTCTGGGCTGCCCCGTGCCAGGGGGACTGGGACAATTTGTCGGGGGAGGGGTGTTGGGGGGGAAGGAAGAGGGGCTAAGAGCCACTGAAATACTGTACATCCTGTAAAGAATGGAAACCACTTCAAGTCAGGGGGTGCTGCAGCACCCCCCTCCGCTTCTAGTCCCAGCACCTGTGCCTCTAGCCTGGGCCTGGTAACTATGGCTCAGGGCTGGGCCGAGACTAAAATTTGCCCAGCATCTTTCTGTGCCCACAGTTGGCTGTTTCCTTCATGCTGGCCCAGCAGGTGTCACCAGGGTGCAGTTCCCCCCATGATGGATTTGAGAGAGGACAGACATTTCCAGAGCTGCCCTTAGGGGGCCCTATGCACAGAGGTGAAAGTAAGTGGGTGCGCCCTGGTGCTCAGTTCTGCAAAAACTGTCTGAGCTGTGGCAAAAGCCAGTAGGGAGCTATTTAAAGAGCTGGCAGGGATCCAGGGTGCAATAGGACAGTACCTATAAGAAATGTGAGTTACATTCACCCCTGCCTCCACAGTACTGTTAAACTGATGCCCCTATGCCCGATGGTAACTGGGAGGGAGGGGAGAGGATGAGATGGTGATTTTTTAGAGATGTAATTTTATAATCGTCAGCAACACACTAATGAATTTTTTAAAAACAAAATTTTAAATTAAGGTACTGTAAACTAATACAGTAAATTCAGAAACTGACAGCATATAGGTGAGGTTGGAAAATGCCTGTTAAATGGCTTCACTACCACTTGAATGGCTCTCTCATGGCTTCCATGTTCTGCTAAAAGGTCTGGCAGGCCTTGTTACTTTTAAGTTAACTAGATCCTCTCTTAGGGTTGCCAGGTGTCCAGTATTGACCCGGACAGTTTGGTATTTTTGCCTCCTGTCCAGTAAAAAAATTCAGAAAATACTGGACACCTGAAATGTCCAGTATTTTCTGTTTTTTTCCCCTGCCAGGAGACGAAAATACCAGACACCTGGCATCCCTAAGACACACTCGGCTACTGGGCCCAGCCCCTGCCCCCTCCAGGGCCCGCAGACCCCGCCTCCAGACCCTCTGCTTACCTGGGGGGGGGAGGGAGTGCTCGATCAAGAAAACAAGATGGCCACGGGCAAAAAGACCTGAAGCAAGGGGAAGCAATGTCTTCCCTAGGTCTTAGTGCTCAACCGTTTCGCTCTCAAACGTAAAGGGGCCATGCTGTTTTATTTTATTTATTTTAGTTGCTTAATAACTTTTGGGGTCTCATAGACTCATAGACTTTAAGGTCAGAAGGGACCACTATGATCATCTAGTCTGACCCCCTGCACAGCGCAGGCCACAGAATCTCACCCACCCCTCCCAGAATAATCCTCTCACTTATATCTCAGATATTGAAGACTTCAAATACTTTGAAGACCCCAAGATGCAGAGAATCCTCTAGCTGTGATCTGTACCCCATGCTACAGTGGAAGGCGAAAAACCTCCAGGGCCTCTGCCAATCTACCCTGGAGGAAAATTCCTTCCTGACCCCAAATATGGCGATCAGCTAAACCCTGAGCATGTGGGCAAGACTCATCAGCCAGACACCCAGAAAATTCTCTATAGTAACTCCTATCATCCCTCCATTGACCTATTCCCACTGATAATGAATGGGCAATTAGTTACTAAGATCATGTTATCTCATCAAACCAGCCCCTTCATAAACCCATCTAGTTTAATCTTGAAACCAGATAGATCTTTTGCCCCCACTACTTCCCTTGGAAGGCCGTTCCAGAACCTCACTCCTCTAATGGTTAGAAACCTTCGTCTAATCTCAAGTCTAAACTTCCTACTAGCCAGCTTATATCCATTTGTTCTTGTGTCCACATTGGTATTAAGCTTAAATAATTCCTCTCCCTCCCTGGTATTTATCCCTCTAATATATTTAAAAAGTGCAATCATGTCCCCCCTCAGCCTTCTTTTGGTTAAGGTAAACAAGCCAAGCTCCCTGAAGGGTCCTTTTTTCCCCCTCAAATCTTTGGGTGCCCTATGCAACTATGTATTTTGCAAATGGGTAAGGATGACTCTGAGCATTTCCCAGCCAACATGGCTTCTCTTCTTGCCACAGGACAGTATGTCCTTACAATAGCATCTTCCTGGCAAAGCTCCAGTCCTGGTAAGATAATAGGAGTGTCAGACCTCAAATTCGGAGGAGTGAGGATGTACATTACTTCCTTCTATTGCAAGACAGCACATGTATACATAGGGCTCCCCAGGCATAGTGTAACTCTGCAATCTCTCCCATATAGATCCTGCATTTCCAGCAGACATCTTTGAAATGTGCCTTGATGAAACCTAAGAACTACTGGAGCTGTTGGGAGCAGGTCTAAGTCTAAAATGGCTAAGGGACAGATGTGGAAATGGAAAGGGTATTGAAAAAAATGTTTTTTTCCTGTTCCCAAAATATTTTTAAAATACTTGTACTATAAGGAACATTTTGTATTCCACCTGCTTAATTCCCTAGTCTCAACTAAGAAACCAGAAACAACAGATACTCCTTGCCAAACTACCTAGGAGAAAAAAATTGGGACTTTTTCAAAAGTCTTCAGTAAGAAGCTAGTCCTGCAAACTCTTATTCACTATTATGAGCCTTGTTCCCTTAATAATTCTGATAAGTTCTTTGGGATTCCTCCCCTCAGTAACAGAGGATATAGGATAACACCCTAAAATAGTACATATTTGCTGGCTCAAAAAGTAGCTGAGAGCTGAATTTTATGCTGTTACTGCTATTTGACAATGAAAGTTTTGAAGGGAAAATGAAGTTGGAATGTGAGGTTAACACTGTACTTATATTGGATATGTTATATATTGTGAGTCTAAATATTCTAACTTGTGTGCTTAGAAAGAGTAACAACACTGTGTTCTAATAGCTCTTTTCACCATAGTCTCCTACTACATGATAGATTCAGTAATTATAGCAGGGAAAGATGCTCATGTGCAGATGTAGAAACATATAAACTTAAAAAATAATGTAAAATTCATCTTGGTTTTTTTGGGTACACAAATAATTGTTCCTAAAAATTACCAGGTATGACATAAATGCTGTCATAAGTGGAATTAGCCAATGGACCATAAAGAATAGTATCTAGCAGTTCATGCACAACTGCTACTCCACTAGTGTTAATGGGAACTGCGAAGGGCAAATGCAGACTGAGTTTCCTAGTCTCTCACGGAAACTGGTTCTTGGATATC